CAAAAAGTCATGTAGGGAGAATAGAGTCACTCTATTATTTCTAAGGCACATCAAGACAGGAAAAGGGCCTTTTTCATTATCATCGACGGTAAGAGGAAGGTCAAAAGACTTGGCGATGAAATCAACAGTGATAGTGATGGACTGACCCATAAGATATGAAACTATGGTCCAATAGATGGTGCCATCACGAGAAGTGGATGACACACGAGCATTTGAGTAAAAAGATCATACAAATAATGATAAGTGGGGCCATTGAAGTTTAAAAAAGTAAAAAGCTTTATATTTTTCAAGTATTGTTTGTTAGGAAAACCCAAGTTGTTTAAAAAAATCAAAATCAATTTTTTGAGTTTCTTTAATATGTCGAGATGCAAAGAACATATCAAAACGTTCATGAGCATTGGAATTTCGAAAACATCGGTTCATCCAAGACTCAATTGTAGGATTGCCAGAGAATGCCCCCTTTGAAGCCATGTTTTTTCTTTTCGGCGTTTTAGAAAAATGATGAAAAATATATTTTTGAACGAAAATCAGTGTTTAAGGATCCCAAAAAGGAATTTTGGAAGATTTAAAAATGAATTTTGTGCTTAAAATTGAGGTGTGGTCGAATGGGATAAAGGGTGGTTTTTGGTTGGATACTTTTATCGAACACCTAGTGGGTGTTAGATAAATATTTGGGATTTTCAAAATAATTGATTATGGGTAAAGCTCCCTACAATAAAACAACAATTTTTACAATAAATAAGTGTTCTCTAACCACCTAATTCAACCCAATTTTACCAAAATTGAAAAATTGAAAAATTGAAAAGTTAAGGTTTTGAAAAATTCTTACCCAAATGTGTTGATTCCTTCAAAATGATGATATGAAATGTTGAAAGGAAGTTTGAAGGATTATTTTAGCATAAAACCCAATTGTAATTCATTTGGATTGAAGATTTTTAGTAAAAATCAGACTCTGTGAGTTTTTTTTTTTTTTGAGGTTTTTGATTTGAAATAGGGCTTTGTAAGAGTAATATGCACCTAAAACAGATTTAAAGCGCCTTTTCTCTACAATTTCGACAATAAGGGATCGATCCTTTGAAAAAAGAGATTGATCCTTTATGAAAAGGGATCGATCCTTTTCAGGAATATGCAAGGGATCGATTCTTTTTACAAAAGGGATCAATCATTTTCCTTAAAAATTGTATCTTTTATTCCAATGACCAAAATTGATGACATAAGACACTAAATGGATGCAACCTAAGTCATATTATTGATAGAAAATTAATATTAGTGACCTAGGGGATACTAAATGTGTATGAATGTCAACTTGAAACTTCAAATTACGCAAAATTTTATTATTGATCAATTTAGTCCATAATTTGCACAAATAAGGTCCAAATAAAGTCACACAAACATACAATGACTCTAAAGATCCTAAATATGCATCTCAAAATCAACATATATAATCAATAGAAAGCATGAAGAACATGATTTCACCACAACAAACAAACATTGCAAATTTAAGGCCAAGATCATCATCATAAGCATTTAAGGCCATAAAATTGCAACTCATGCAAAAACTAAATTCCACTAACTAATTGTAATTTAGCACTATGTGGGGACACACAATCATGCATACAAACATATAAAATCATATAAAGCACAACATTGCATGAAATAAAAACTTGTTACCACTTGAATTAAGGTCGTCTCCCTTTCTTCAAGTGTCCTTCCTTAGTGTGTTTTAGAGCCTCAAAATTCATTGTCTTTGCTCATCATTGCTCCAACACACCTACAAGAGACATTTACTTGTCTTATTTTATAAGATTTTTTTCTTTATAGGACAAGTATTGGAATTATGACCATGATAATGGCAATACGAACATTTTGCCATTATTGACTTTGATGAATTGTGAGAAATAATTTTTTTCTATTTTATTAAGATATCAAGATTGATTTTCAAATCAAAATTTTCTTTTTCAAAATTTTCATTTTTCAATTTTGAAAGCTCCAAATCCTTTTTCTATATTTTATTTTTGCTTTTAAAATCCAATTTAGTTTCCAAAAAAAGAATCATTTTCAGTTTTAAATTTAGAAATTATTTTCTTATATTTGGAATTTATGGTCTCAAATTCCAAAATCAATTCATCATAAGCATCTTCTAACTCATCAAAAGAATATGAATTTAATTCATTTGAGTTAGAAGATACCTTGGGTTCTTCAATAGCCATTAAGCACACTACCTTTGGTACTTCTTCTTTATTGTCACCATATAGCTCTTCAAGCTTATTCCAAAGCTCATTGCATTTGAATAAAAAGAAATGCCTTCATAGACATCGAGACCAAATGCACAAAACAACATGTGCATGGCCTTGGTATTTTGTTGGATGTTCTTTCGTTCTTGGTCACTCCTCTCCTTCGTCTTCTTCATTGGAGAAGAGTAGTCATTCTCGATTATCTCCCATGCATTAAGATCATTGGATTGGATGAATAACTTCATTAATTTCTTCCAATGATGTTAGTTGGCCTCATTGAAGTTTGGAGGCTTGGTGATCGGTTGGGAGTCTTCCATGTAGAAATAGCCGAAAGTGGAAGCCATCTTTATCGATTGATTGAAGAAGTTGATAGAGCTCTTCTAGGATCTTCACAAGGTTGTTAAACCTCCAGTTGTGACCTGTTATAATACCAATTTTTGAGCTCATATAAAGAACTGAATATGCCAAGAGGGGTGAATTGGCCTTTTAAAAAGTTTGGTGGAAGCAATCGAAAAATAGAACTTTTTGCACAACAATTTATAGTGGTTCGACTTCTAAACCAAGTCGACATCCACTACCTTAGCATCCACACTAAGGATTTCTCAAATCCACTATATTTTCTTATCTTTAAGGACAAGGTGTAACCTTACAAACACTTCAAGTAAAATACCCCAAAACCTTGAATACACTCTCTCCCAAAGAGTACTTACAAATTTAGAAAACTAAAGAAAAACCTCACAAAGGTAAATAAGTTTGCACTAATTAAGTTCTCACCCAAATTACACTTGAGCAAAATAAACAATGTAGCTCACAAGTGTGTTTACAACAAAGAATTTACAAATTAAGCACAAAAATAAGCTTTGATGTTGGTAGATTGGTTTAATATGATTTTTGATGACCTTGGGAAGCTTTTACCTTCGATTTATACCTTCTCCATTAATTCTAGCCGTTTGGAGTTGTTAGGGATCATTATAGTCATTACCTACAACCAAAAATAACATTTAATGCACAATGGATCGAACCTTTGTTGAAAGGGATTGATTCTTTTTAAAAAATTTCAACCGTTGTAACAAAGGGATCAATCCTTTAAGGGAAATGATCGATCCTTTTCATCGAGGGGTCGATCCTTTTGTTGAAGGGATCGATCTTTTTCCTCTATGGATCGATCATTTTTGTAAAGGGATCGATCCCAAAGTTACTGTTATCCAAGGGATTGATCCTTTGGTCAAATGGATCGATCCTTTTGCTAGGGGATTGATACTTTGAGCCAAAAATCCTTGAAACTTAACTTTAAAGTACGAAAACGATCGAGTTTGTTTTTGAAAATGTTTGACTAAGTTGGAAAACATTTAAAACATATTTTTAAAGTTAATTTGGATTTTGAATTATTTTTGATAAATTTTTGACAAATTCAATTAAGTCGAAAATCAATTTTGCAATTTAATGTTATATCAAAATCTTAATTCAACAAAAACCCCTTTTAAAACCCCCACCATGGCTTTCATGGCCATACCTTGAGATTTGGAGCTTAAATGAAAGCTCTAGGGAAGGAGGTTATGACTCTTCCCTTCACAAATCCAAAATGAGAATAAAGAGCAACAAGTTTTCTCCTTTTGTTTGGACATAAGAAGAAGAATGAAAGAGTTTGAATGAAAGGAAGAAGACAAAAAAGGATGAAGAAAAAGAGGAAGCATGACACGTTTACGTCATCAATTATTAATGAGAATTCAACTTTAAAAAAGTTTAGGGGATAATTATTCTCTTAGTCCTCCTACTTTTATGTTCTCTTTTTTAGTCTTGATGGGTTTAAGACCAATTATAATAACCCCAAACCCTTAAATTCTTAAACAAAGCATTCTTACAAACCTAAAGGATTTATAAAAAGTTTCTCCCGGGTTAGCCTGAACTTCCAACCCGAAAATCGGGAAGTTACAGACCAAGTTCGGTCGAAGAAATATAGACATCAACAAGGCGTAACATTTCTTCTCAAGTATACATTTTTCAGGAATTCTTCAAAAATTATGAATTTTCTCAATTTTTTATTAACATTACATAATAAAATCCTAAACCTTAAACCCCTATTTATAACCCCCAAACCCAATGGCTATAAAAGGTTACATTTTTCAAAAATCCCACCGAACTCGTGACCTGGAGGTGACGAATTTCGCCTTGATCATTAATATTTAACTGTTGTAGTTGCCTGTTGCACATCAACTATAAAACGACTAGTTTTTTTTATTCAACAAAAAGTCTTTACCTCAACCTGAGGAGTTACCATTTTTTATTTTTAAAAAAATTATTAAATTTTAAAAAATTAACTTTAACCAGACGTAACGAGTCTTGAAAAATATATTTTAATATTGATCCATGTGGGACCCATGGACTTGAGATCATTAAACAATATTTTTTTATTAAATTTATCACATCAAAATGATGAGTTTCTACTTTACTGTAACATTTGTTGTATATTTTTAAATAAAAATTTGATTGACCTATTGGGCTAATTAATTTATCCACTTGAAGAATTGTGCAGAGAAACCCTATACCTTTCCCTACTTTGCTAGTTGAGGCCTGAGATCGACATTGGGCTTCCAGAATAAAACACGATTATTTCAGGAAAAATGACAGGCTAGAGGCAAAATATTCTTATCCATAGTAATTTGAGTATACATACCCTATGATTTTAGTCTGACACGATACGATATGATAAAAATATTATAAATTAATACGAACATACGAACAATGTATACCGTATACAAATAAATATACAATCACTCCCTCTAAAATTTATACATTCGATCAAAATGTGCAAAATACATTATATTTTTGTTTATGAGGAATGGAGGATAAATCAAAGCCTAGATAACATAACAATCTTAAACAACAGTCAAACTAGGTGCAACAAAACACGACAAAATATCAATCTCGAGTTGTAGTATAGAACACCTAAATTTCAACCTGCACAGGCTGCGATACAGTAAGGGGTCGGTTACAACTACATGAACTCTGATTCTAGATCGATCAACCTCAACTGCTGTACATTTTTCGAATGGATGTATGCCACTGCGATGGAGAAGGACTGTAGAGCTGAGAGTGTGGGTTGAAAATGAATGAAATACAGGCCATCATGAACATTTGATATGCTCAATGTGTGCTCGGAACCCTGAAACATGGAAGTCCAGAAACGGTCATCGCTGTGATTATGATATCATATAGTTTTTGTGTTTACACCACCATAATCTAAGGGGAAGCAGGGACGCTGGTGTGTACCTGAATGAAAAAATCGAATGACTTGCAGGCCACGGATGTTTCACTTTGAGACGATACTCCTTTATTTGATCTGGCTTTAAGTACCGTCAGCGGACATCCCAAGTCCCAGCCACCACAGTCGCAATGTCCACCAGAACTCCATCTTTCGATAAGGCTCGAGGGGCCGAAGTTTCGGATTCTTGGACCACCATGAATACCTGCTGGAACTATAATGTCCATACTTGTTGAGCAATCACCAGTATCGCGAGAACAAGCAGAACGAACAGGGGTTTCCGAAGGGTCAACCTTTAGCTTAATCCCTGTTTTCCTGAGAAAGTTTAAGCCCCAACCTCCGAGTTCCAAATGAGGATTTTCAGGCAAATGATCCTTCGAGACGATAGCAAGCAATTCAGAATTGGATGGATGTTGTTCCTCTAAAAGATCAGTGTCATCTACTGCATCAGAAATGTTGATCATATCTCGGCATGGATCTGAAGAAGAGCCTTCGATCAAGGAAATTGATCGACGAAATCTAGACATTGTTCTCTGCTTGGACAAAGGACCACTCTTGAATACTTGTGATACCTTTCTCGTTAGACCCTTATTCTTCCTGTGGTTATGGCTCGAAGTTTGCAGATCCGGACTAAAAGTTCCATCACCACCGAACAAAACAAACTCCGTCTCCATGATGTTAGAATCTCGGGAGCCGATGGAGAAAGAAGTAGATACCTTCATCTTACCAACAAGATGTAGCTCGTTATCACTAGTCCCATGTTCCATACGGCTGCCCTTGCTGGAACGGAACAAATACGTATAGCCCAGACCTTTTTTCCGAGCTGACCCCTCCTTCAACAAATTAGCTAAATATACCTCTCCCTGATTATCCAAGGATAAAACAAAATACGGAATCCCACCCTTCCAAGAGCATTGAAGCATTCCCTGCGAAATCGTTGAAGAATTCGACGAAAAGGACTGATCGGAGCATGTCGAGTTCGAGCTTGACACCGAAACAAGCTTTTTCTGCACAGTTTCAGATCCATATTTACAAGTATTTGATACCAGTGCTTCACTTCCGACCTCATTCGAACTCGGATCAACATCCAATGCACCAAACTTCTTTAACAACGGGCTCTTCAATATATTTGCCATACTCCTGCTGCCCATTATAGAACCTACGACCCATGGATCCACAGGACCAATGATGACACTTCCTGTATCAGCATCGAGTGGACAGTCGAAAACAAACCTGCCAAAATCGCATGCATCTCCATCTGGAATTTTAGTTGGATTCAGTCCATCGGCTAAAATACCAGTGTTTAGAGAGCTCAAGTTCACAGAGATGTTGCATTGAGCTGCTTTTGCTGCATTGATCTGAATCAAATCCAGGCAACGACGAAGATATTTCTCATCTAGAGTGACGATATGCCTCGGAATCTTACTACTTATGCCAGAAATACTCCGTCGGAACGAATCCTTTATAAGACTCTTTCCACCTTGTAAGCGTTTAACACTCAACATCAAAGCATGCCATGGATTTACCTTTCTCACCAGCTTCTTCAACTTCAATTCAGAATATTCCATTCCATTATCTCCCGAGATATCCCTGTTTTGTGACGAATCCTCATTCCCCTTGTTGTCTTTCCGACTGGTAACGAAGGCTTTCTCCATCTGCTTCCTCCAATCAACTACGGTGCCTAGCGACAGGTATGACTGATCACCATTTTTCTGTCTCAACGTGGATGATTCCGTGCCTATATAAGGCTCCAACTATTCGGATTCGTAACTCACAAGAAATCTGAAGAAAAACACGAATGATTACATCGATACAGAACCGAAAACAGGAAGAAAATACAAACGTAAATAGAGCCATGACTCATGCATTAACAATTCTTACTGCAACTAGAAGTACAATAACAAATATCCCACAGATCGAAGCATACTGTGTCGAACACCAGTCGTGTTTATATGTGTACATAAACTGTATGAAATATCCTACATTCCGAGCAAATGCCAATCAAAGGTAAGTTAGTTGGCAATCAAAATCAGTGGCATACAGAACATTTTTGCTCCAAAATAATCTATGTTACTCCAACTCTTCATTATTCCTAAACCATCCGCCCCCTACACATAACATTCGAATATACACGAAAAACTAAACATACTCGCATCGAACACAAACAGAACAATTAATCAACATACATAACCAAAATCAAAAGGCTTGATCTTTAATTCTCATGTCCATGAATCTCACTGTACAAACACAAAGAAATCAAATTGAAGATCACATCTCATTAGTTTCACCATAACAAGACCCCAGAAAGCTGGCTGGAAATTCATGCCACGAAAAAATCTTACCCTCAAAGCAGCGAGGAGATGAACCCCAAACCAGATTGATGAGAGGAATTCTTATGATCTCGATTAGCTTGATTTGCATAAAAAGTCGGAGCCTTTCGACCAGCACCTCAGCTGCACATAAAAACACTTTGAATCTAAGAAAACCAAACACTGAACCCCAGAAAATTTCAGTATTGAACACAAAGTTAAAGAACTAGAGAAAACCAACATAAAAATAGAAAATAAAGAGGAAAGTTGCAGACTTTTATGAATAGAATATGTGAAAAGATCCACTTTTTTTTAAAATTCTCTTACCTCAAGAGAAAAGGATCCAATAAACAAATATCAACCACCCCGATTCACCACACTAGAAAGAAGATTTCCAGTAATGGGGGAAAGCATGGCAATCACCTGTTAACCCTGAGTTTAATCCGAGTGAAGAAACGAGGATTTAGCCAATATAATGAAGGAATGAACAGAGACGAGTTTGTTTTTGGTCAGGAAGAAGCCAAGTCTTGTACTAGGTTCCAGAAAACACTGTTTTGGTTTGCTTTGCTGTTAGCCTATGATAATAATATAAGTACCAAAATTAATAGTATAAACACGACATGGATTTATGAATGCGGGTTAAGACGGCGATGTTACTTAGGCAGGGGAGGTAGTGGGAGGCGTGGAGGAGGAAGAAATGGTGCTGTGAGGCACGTTTTGTTGTGGAATTTTTGGTTTCCATGTTCATGTCTCCTCCATGGTTCTCAACTTTCGAGGAGGACCCCACTTTTTGGAAATATTACACCCAAAGTCAATTAATTATGTTTGATAAATAAATAAGTTAATTCTCTTCTAAACGTTACAAATAGGTCATTCATAATCATATTGGACTTGAATATTGACATGATGTGATCTGATATAATAATAGGTTTAGTTCTTAAATTTTATATAGTATATTAATTGAGTCCTAATTTGAGATAATTTAATAAATTCAGTCTTTCATATTAAAAATTGTTATTTTAATATTTATTCTTCACTTAAATTATTTGTTCTTCTCTTAGAAATGTTACATTAAATTCTATTATTTTTCCTATAATAACAGTTTAACAGTAAGTAATTAGTTATTACTTTATAATATAATGTAATTATTCAACTACTATTTTGATTCAATATACACTGAATTTGATAATATTATAAAAATATTAAATCAATAAAAAATTAAATATAAAACTTTAAATTTATTAAGTTATTTCAAATTATGATAAAATTGATAAGATGAGTAAATTTTCAAGACAAAATATTATTATATTATATTATATATCACATTAGACATTTGTTGCAATTTTATTCGAAGTGATATATTTGTAATAATATTTTAATTGAGAGGTAAATTTAAAACTTTTAAAAAAATGATATCTCTGTTATTAAACCCATAATTAAGTGGCATTGAATGTAAATTACCTTTTATTTTTATTTTAGTTTAGTCAAATTTGAAGATAATAATTAGAAATGGAAAAGGACCCAGATAAGGAAAAGGGGAAATCTTGATAAAGAAACCATTAAAAATTGCATTAAGAAAAAGAACGTAGAGTGAGCTGGAAACGCAGTGTGTAGACTTGCTAAATAGGAAGTATATCTGTGGATTTAATAGATGAGGCAGATATCATTAACATTAATATAAGATAAATCAATAATTAATTTTATTATAACTTAAACTTGATATATTTAAAATGATTATAAGTCTCTATTAATAAAGAATAATTAATGTACCGTCTTCAATTAGTAACATTTGATTAATAAGTATATTTAGTCAGTTGATAAATTTACTTATTATTTTTCATATTTTTAAGATTCATGAGTTTTAGATTCATTGAGAGTATTTTATTCTTTTTCTTTTATAGAATTTTTTCTTCACTCTAAATAAATTTAAGATTATAATTAAAATTTGTGTAAAGAAAAACCAGTAACATTTGATAACTGATTTTATAAAATATGAACATTGTTTTAATTATTTTACACAGATTAACTAATTTATCTCAAAAGGGTTATCTTTAAATTATTTTAATAATGTTTCACTATTGATTTCCTTGTTGAAAAAAATTTATATTTTCCCCAAGACATGTGAAGGAGAGAGAAAGAAGATAGAATAATGGAAGATTTGTGTGCAATGGTCAAAGTAGTGCCAAGTGGGTACCGTCATTTCCTTCTTTTTCAAAGATGGGTAAAATATAGGCGCTGTAAATTTGAAAGATGGATAAAATATAGAAGCTTTAGATGACATAAGATATATTGTATGCTATTCGAAATCGATTCGATTAAAATTTAATAAATATTTGACTCGAATGATTTGATTCGAGCTCAAACTCGACTCGACTTCTTAACGAATCGAAAATAGTTACTTGGTATTCGACTCAAAAGCTCACGAACAATTTGAAAATATAATATACTAAGATTTTATTTTAAGGAAATAAATTATTAATAATATTAATATTTATGTATTGATATTTTTTTAAATGTAATATAAGGTTTTCATATATTAAAGGTTCAGGTTCGAGTTTGAATTTGAGGTTTCAATCGAGTTAAGTTTAATCTTTTTTCCATTTCAAGATTTTACGAGCTTCAATTTATGGTTTTGAGTTCAAGTTGAGCTTAAAAATTATATACTCGCGAATTTTCAGGCAGAGTGGAGTTTCATTTTAAAGTTTTCGAGTTGAGTCGAGCTCAATAATACTCGAACTCGATTAGACTCGTTTACAGTCCTAGATACACTCAACAATATTCGAACTCAACTCGACTTCATTTTAATCAAATTTCAATTAAATTATTTTTTTAATTAATAAAAGTCATCAACTCGATAAAGATATTTGGTATTATCACTTTTTGAATTTGTCCCATGAGATTTTTTCTTTAATATGAAATTTTATATTTCTTTCACTCAAATATATTAAGAGTACAACACAATCTTATTTATGTATTTTAAAGACCAAACCACATAACCAACCACTCCTGAATGTCGTCTTCATTCGTCTCCACCTCTAAACCTGATTTGACGGTATCCGGTTTTTCAAGTCGATCTTGTCATAAGTCTCCCGGGGAGTCCATTAAACTTAAAAAAATATTATTAGTTTAGAGAAGAGTGATGAAATATAATTTTGAAAATAATTTGACTTTCGTAATCAATCATTAAGTTAGGTATGTTGGAAACAAAAAAAATGGTTTGCGTTTTATTAAAAATTCGTTTTTAAGAGTTCAGGAGTCGGTTACGTATGGGGAAGAGTGAGCACCCCACAACGCCCAAATTTTGATACCTAAACGATTATATATTGTTTAAATATTGAGAATTACAAACTCGAAAATATATTTAAATTACGATCCTTTTATTCATTTGACTTTATTCAAAAAGTGTCAATTTTCTGATAATTATGCCATTTTATGTGAACAATCTTCGGGAAAATCACTTACTTTGTAGTTAGGATACTTTCCCATAAATTCCCCTCACAAAAAAACATTGTTTTGCAATTTTCGTAAAGATAAAATACCATAAAATAAAACAAAATAAAAGTGAAAAGCGGTGAAAAATACTCGAAATAAATAAACGTGGAACAAATAAAATTATCGAATATAAAACAACATTTGTGTGGAAAACCCTCAAAAAAACATCTTCCCTTTAGTTAGGAGAAGTATTTGTAGATTTCTCTCACAATAAAATTTCTCATTTACATATAAGTATAAAATATGTAAAACAAATAAATATGTAAAAAGAATCAATCATAACAAAAAAAAATATTACATATCAAATTACAAATAGTCAAAACAATAAATAATCATATTCTATTTAAAAAGATCAAAATAGAAAAAAAGAAACTTAAGGGACTAAAATAGCAAAAATAGGAATTAAAAGGACTAAAATAGCAAAAATCAAAACTTAAGGGATTAAAATAGCAAAAATAAAAATTAAAAGGACTAAAATAGAAAGAAAAACAAAACTTAAGGGATTAAAATAGCATAAACATAAATTTAAAGGACTAAAATAGTAAAAATATACATTTAAGGGACTAAAATCACAAAAACAAAAACTTAAGGGACTAAATTAGTAAAAATACATTTAAAGGACTAAAATAGCAAAAACATAAATTTAAGGGACTAAAATAGCAAAACAAAAACTTAAGGGACTAAAACACAAATAAAATAAACCAGGTTCCCAAAATTGAAAATACTAAATAACACATGTACTAGAAATGAAAATAACCCCTAAACAATATTATGGACTAAAATAAAATAACAAGAAATATGAAGGATTAAACAATAATTAAACCATATGCAAGTAGTGACCAAAATAAAAGATACATAAATATCATGGCCAAATTCAAACATTCACAAAAATACACAAAACACAAAATTAGTGACTAAATTGAAATAATTACAAATATTGCAACAAAGTCAAACATTTACAATAATAATAATATTAGGATCATAAAATAAATACAGAAACTTAAGTGCTCAAAACATAATAAAGTAAAATTTTATTATGACTGAAACAATAAATTACAATTATGAGGGACCTAGGGTGCTATTTACCTTACCCAGAAAACACGGAGAAGACCCCTAGCAAAAACGACGCCATTTAGGTTTGATATTTAAGCCCAAAAAACCGAGCTTTCTTTGCTCACTTGCTTCATTTCTCATCTTCGCAAGAAAGAGAAAGAATGAGAGAGAGCTCCAGAGAGTTCTCAAGAACCGACGAGGAACCGTCGTGTTAGTCGCCACTGATCGGTGGCCACCGCCGTTAGCCAGCGTCGGAGAGGAGAGAAAAAGATATCCTCGAAGCGTCCTTTTGGCCCTGAACAAGGATCCGGGGCCCGTTTGGCCTAAAAAGGACCCAAACATTGTAGATCTATGAAGAACCTTTCGGTTCCTTCGGCTCCGACGACTGTTCAAGGGTGGGTATCACCTAAAGGTAACCTATTTTCCTTTGTTTTCTCTCATATTTCGCATTATTTCTCTCTATTTTTTCCTTTGGGTTTTTCTGTTTTTTTCTCTCCCTATGTATATTTTTTTTCTATATTTTCTCTTAAACCCCAAATGCCCCTTGCTACTTTCTCTATCCCCTTTTATTTATGCATGCCTCTATTTTTATCTTGCCTCTGATGGATTGGTGATGGATGTTGCAGATCTCCCTTGATTTGCTTTTTGATATTCTTTCATTTTTATGGGGATTTTAGATTGATATGATCTGATTCGGTCACTATAGGATGGATGGGTGCAGGCGGGATAGTCGACAGCAGCATCAGACAAGCGGCAGCGACTATAACAGCATCATACCTCTAGGGTTAGGTTTCAGAAACCCTAGGGGGTTGGGTCAAATTCGGGTCTCGGGTCGGATCTTGAGCTGCTTAGTGATTTCGGGTCGGGCTGGTAATGTTTTGGGCTTGACCAAGTGTAATTGGGTCTGGGTTGAGTTGGGCTGCTAATTTGGGCCTTGGGGATTGGGCTCCAAGTGGCCTGCAACAAAAATATAATTTGTAATTTAATAAAAATAAAAATAATAATATAATATCTTTGTAGACCTGGACAAAAATAGGTATCTAGAGATCTTTGAAAACACCTTATTTTATTTTTTTTGAAAACACCTTAAAACCATGCAAATGAAGTATTAGTATGTGATGACTCTTTCAGTGGCTTTCGATTGACGTATGGTGATCCATGTATGAAACCCCATAACTACAAGTAAACACATGATGGGCTCAAAACCAAAGGACAAATGTTATGCAAGTGAGTTCCTCGTAAGTGAAGGACCAAAGGCCCCCCTAAGTTTTGAATAGAATAATATTTTAAGTCCTCATTAGTCTAAATATTAGTCAAACAAGGTCTTCAATTGTCCCTCCCACTTTTTAGGTTTAAATACTTAATAGATGCTTACTCCTTCCGTTCGATTCAAAATCATGAGATTTCTAGGGGTTCTCTTTGTCCCTGAGATGATTACTAAAGTTGTTGTTTTGCACTCAACGTTGGGGAACAAATAACCAAACATTACCTCCACATTGTTTAGCTCAAAGTCCTGGTCGTGAGCCAAGCACAAGTTCCCAAATGTTTCACAAAGTCCCCTACTTCCACTCAAACTAAGAAAATCACAGACCACGAAAAAGAAAAGACACGATATTTTTAATAAGAGAAAATAACCTCAGTGACCGAAAATGCCTTATAATATACGATTTTAACCAATTTTTTTTGGATTTGCCAAAATGACCAACAAATTCGCAACACGAACTCCAATTTCGCAACCCAGTTTCCAATTTCGCAACGCGAATATGTAAATCGCATTGCGATTTTCCAAATTCACGTTGCGATTTTCCAAATTCGCGTTGCGATTTTCTAAATTCGCGTTGCGATTTTCTAAATTCGCGTTGCGATTTTCCAAATTCGCAACGTGAATCTGTAAATCGCAACGCGAATTTGTAAATCGCAACACAGAAGTCAAATTCGCAACGCGATAGTCAAATTCGCAACACAAAAGTCAAATTCGCAACACGGAATTTCAAATTCGTAACTAAATTTCAAATTCGCAACTGAATTTCAAATTCGCAACTAGATTTTCGAATTCGCAACACGAGTTTAATTTCGCAACAGGTTTTAGTTTCGCAACACAAATGTTTTGGGTATATTAACAACGCAGCAGCAGCAGCAGCAACTCATAACATAAATCCCTAAATCGCAACTCATTCCATCTCCATCTATCACTCTCTCTGATGACATCTGTTCCTATATCCAACGACATCCTTCCCAATCTCTAATTGTTTTTACATAATTTTATTTCTATATAATTTTTCAATGATTTCTCTCCCAAATTATCAGCTATCAACTTAATAAAGGTATGTTTTTCTCTAAGTTAGTGATGATATCTAGTTTATAGCTCGTTTGTTTAGTAAATTAATTTACAATTTGTATAATGAAATCATCTAATGTTGATCATGTTTGGATAGATTTGTGTTTTGGAGGGTCATGGGAGAATGTTCATGGTGTTTTACGATATGTGCCTTTACCCATGAATCTTCAACTAAAATTGTCATTAAAAAAGTTAACTTATGAAACTCTAATGTTATGTGTTGCAAAGAAATTGAATTTAGAGCCTCTAAGTGGATTTAGGCTATCTTATCAGAGAAAATGTAAAGTTTATTTGTTAACCGACAATGAAGATGTTGAACGATTCATTTTTTCATTAGTGTTTCGCAAGAAGATGATGTTACATTGTATGTTGTTTAACCTAGAAGTAGTGAAGTTGGGTCAGTAGCGGGTAGTAATCAACTAAGTTCTTCGACCCCAGTTTATGGTGCTCACAATGTACAACGTTGTTATCAACCTCAAAATTTAATGGTTCCACTACAATTTCATCACCAAGAAAATTTTGTTTCACCACATTTCCAATACCAAACACAATATCAAACACAGTCTCAAAACCCACAACCTTTTCCTAATCCAAATCCCAATCAACTTTCAGCACCAAATTCCGATTTTCGTATTGACCAGTTAGACGATTATGAGCCAATAGAAAAAATTGTGAGTACTAGTCAGGATTTGAAATTTGATCTTGGTCAATACCCGGACTTTGATATTAGTCAATACTCGGATTTTGATGATGTTTCAGAAGAATAAACAGACCCTGCAATTAATGATTTTGATATTGGTCAATACCCAAATTTTGATGATGAAACAGCCGCTGTCGAGGAATATGTTATTGATAATAATGAGGAGGAAGTTACGACTGTGAATGAACATATTGAACATCCATTATGTAATTCATATAACCTTGAATAAGAAAAAGAAGAAGTCCCCAAAGAAAAGAAAAAGAAGAAAATACCACGGGAGTATAACTGGAATATACCAGAATTACATCAGATACCGGAAGAAGAGTTGATAAAGATAGCAGTTGATTGTTACACAAAAGTTATTCGTATCAAGAAAGATGATTGTTTTGATACAAAGGAAGACTTGAAGATAGCTTTGTATACGAAATGTGTAGAAGATGGCTATCAACTAAAAGTTAACAAATCAAGCAAAGATCGTTTCGAAACAAAGTGTATGATTGACAAAAACTGTACGCGGCGTATGATTGCAAAAAGGATAAAAGATTGCGAAATGTTTCAAGTTAGGACTTTTATTGATAAACATACATGTTCAAGAACCCAAGTTTTTCCTCACCATAGACAGGCAAACAAAAAGGTGTTGGGTGATTTTCTGGCTGAGTTAATGTTTTTGAATGGCAGAGTATATCGGGGACATGAAATTATGACTGACATGAATGCTCAGTTCAAGATTAGTGTCTCATATTCTCAAGCTTGGAGAGCCAAATGTTATGCCTTGGAATTGTTGAGGGGGTCTCCAGAAGCATCGTTTGCCCAACTGCCGGCTTATTGTCATAATTTAAAGCTGAAAAATCCTGGGTCGATAACTCATATCAAAACAGATAGAGACGGACGCTTTGGGTTGTTGTTTATCGCCATTGGTGTTGCGGTTAGTAAATCAATATAATTTTGTTGACTCATTTTTGTTAGTTACATGCATTTCACATTTAAATGATTATGTCTTGTATATATTATTTTGTAGATTCGTTCGTTTATTACTTGCATGCGCCCAGTTATTATAGTTGATGGAGCACATTTGAAAGGTCGATACCTTGGAGTAAACTTATTAGCAGTAGCTATGGATGCTAACAATGGAATACTGCCAATAGCTTATGGGGTTGGCAAATCTGAAACCTCTTATTCATGGACATGTTTATGGGGCATCTTAGGGATTACATAAGTCCTATTAGCAATCTGATAATCATATTCGATAGGGCAAACTCAATTGACAACGCTGTTAGAATGTGTTTCCCAGATGTTTTTCATGGACTTTGTGGTGTTCATTTGTACAGAAATCTAAAATCAAGGTCTGCTGGTATAAAAAATCACAAATGGACATACTGGAAGGCTGTAAAAGCTTATCGAGAAGTGGATTTTAATAAGCATATAAATTGTTTAAGAAGTGCTTTGCCTCAATGTGCTCAAACACTAGAAGATGTCGGGTTTGAAAGATGGTCAAGAGTACATCAACTTGGAGCAATTTATGGCTTCATGACGTCTAATAGTGCAGAATCAATCAACGCTCTAAGTCGTCATTCCCAGAAATTACCCATTACTATGTTAATGGAGTTTTTTCGAGCCTCTATTCAACAGTGGTACTACAAGAAAAGAAACCATGCAGGTATTATTTCTTTAAATTCGTAACTTATCATATATTTTACTAAATATTATTTATTTAAATTTACAGGACCATTGGAACGTCGTGTTACACCATGGACTGAAAAAAATATAACGAAATGTGTTGTGAAGTCAACGTCATGGAGAGTTGAACCATGTTCAAACACTTTGTTTGAAGTATTGGATAATAACTTAAATGGGCTTGTCGATATAAATGAAAAGACGTGTAGTTGTATGAAATGGCAAACATCTGGTTATCCGTGTGGCCATGTTATAAAAGTTGCTCTTCATCTAAACCAAGATGAATCAAGCACATACGCTATGGATTGCTACACTACAGAATTATATCAACAGACTTATGTCGAGATTGTCTACCCTGTTCTACATCCTTCTGAGTGGGACATACCAAATGACTTACAAACAGTTTTGCCACCAGTCATGGACAGCAGGCTACCTGGCCGACCAAAAAATCACGATCGTATACCGTCTAAGGGTGAAAAGAAGAGGATATCGACATGTAGTCGGTGCAAGGAAAGTGGTCATACAAGGTTGACCTGTAGATCACCAGTGCCATCACAATCATCTTTTCCTCTACCAAAAAATGGATCCTCATCAAAATCCAAAGCTCATATGGTGTCAAGAAAAAGGAAATCAAAATCGCAATCAAAATCAAAATCCCAATCACAACCAGCTTCACCTTTTGGGACTTATTAACTTAGATGATTTTTAAATGCAAACATTGTATTATGTGTATTTTATGTGTGAATTCATACATTTTCAATTAGACATTCATTAGTAACTTGAGTTTGAACATTGCTATGATCTGTTCAGTTGTTATTATGTTGGGATTTTCTCTTGTGTTTGATTGCTTGGATAGTTGTTCTCTTCCTTCTTCAAGTGTCCTTAGCTTGTATTTATAGCTTGGAATGTGTTTGATGTTGTATATAACTTGATGTTGTATGTTGTGATCAACGCGAAATCGCAAACCGAAAATCGCAACACGAATTTGACTTTCGTGTTGCGAATTTAACTTTCGCGTTGCGAATTTACCTTTCGCGTTGTGAATTTGTACCCTTCAACAGGTCTTTTTTGCCTTCAACATAATACAGATTGAATTTAAAACAACAAATCAACTTTTACAAATCAATTAAACAAGAAAAAATAATAATTCTTATTTACACATCAAATTAAACAAATCAACTTTTATAAATAAACTTTTACAAATCAATTAAACAAACAAAAAATAATTCTTATTTCCTCATCAATTAAACAAATCAACTTTCAATGTAAAATTCAATTAAACAAGCAAAAAAGTGTACCCATACTGTTGTTTATGCACAAATACATCAATTTCACGCAGTTCACGTCAGGAATAACCTGCAGAAACCAAACATTTGCTCAAACAACACTTTCTACACATCTAAAACCAACAAACAGCAAATTATTGAATTCTAGGTACTTAACCAAACATTTTCAAACCAACAAAGAGTATATATGTTAACAACACTTGCTCAAACTTACCAATTGTTTATGCAAACTTTCAGCACGCGGATGCAGGTAGGCAACGTCTCGCATATATCGCTCGAGCCATAAAATGCCGAAACCATAAGCCTACTGCACCTCTATCTTTATCTGTGGGAGACAGAAGGTGTTTACTTCCTGTCGTCAAACGCTCCAAGCACATGCATACAAGAGGACCACAATCCCATCTGGCTCCCTCCGTTTATTGTGGCGCAATATCGTCTATGATCATTGTAACTTTAAACTTTTTTGGCTTCTTGTTTCCAGAATTAGTCCAATAATCAATCGCATCCAAGTATTTCGCCAAATGAGCGCTCCAACCCTTACAAATAATATCTCTCAAATTAGACAATGGTATGTAATTCAACATGTTGTCATATACCATTGTCTTCAGAGATGGGAGCTGAAGCTCAACGAGAAGCCAATGACGACGTTTCAAAATAGGGATAAACACTTGCAATCATAAATAATTGCGCACATCAAATAAAATTTATGAAAACCTTTAAAATATTCAAAAAATAAATACTAACCTTATCGACCTCCCACCACGCAGGATAAAGTTTAGCTTTTCCATTACCCAACGTATATGAAGCATCTCTCGGATCCTTCAAGTGAGCTACGTGAAAAGACGTCGGCATAATAGTTTATCGAGTATTTCTTATTTTCCTCAATTTCCTTATTATTAGAATACGTGACACTCATGCATCAATATGTTGTTTTATAAAAAAATACATATATTAGTGAATTTATTAATAATTTTAAAAAAATTAATCAAAATGCAATATAAGAAGAATATAAGACTTACCACCCCTTCGAGATAGTCATTATCTTCAACCCCTAATAAAATACCCCACCAAGACCGATCAAGAAACAAATGCATAACATCGTCGAGTTGGCATAGGTCAGAATAACACCCCCTGCTCTGCTCATGTAGATAAAAATCAATTGCGCTCTTAGCCCAGAGGGTATTATCCGTAATTGTGTCTGGTAGTGTTTCTCTCTCCTGCTAAGGAATGGTACTGGCCGGTAACACATACGAAATCCAACTCGCATCCATCATATCGGGCACGGGAGGGGTTTATCAATATGTCGACATATGACGTCATGTGAATCGGGCTCTTGAACGACGGACGGGACCTCTTGAACGATGACAGGGGCCTCTTGAACGGTGGGAGGAGCCTCTTCGATGATGAGAGGGGACTCTTGAACGATAGGAGGCGACTCTTGAATGATGATAGGTGCATCGGGCTTCTTCTTATGGAGTCTTGGCATTAGTGGGGTGAACAGAGAAGTAATGGCATGTGCACGATGTCTGATGCGTAAATCTCGTCGTGCAAGAAAAACCCGACGTAAAGCATCTACCTTATCAGGCCGCTGAAAATAAATTAATACATAAATCAGTAAATAAATAAATAAATAAATAATGTCAAAAAAAGGTTATTTGCAGTTTTAGTATAGTATAAAACAAATTTACCTCATTGCGTAGAGTATGAACCTCATTTTGCAATGATAAAATAATCTCGCGTAGAGCGACAACCTCATCACGTAAAATAGATACCTCACCACGTAGCGCACCATTGTCATCGCGTAAAAAATCTACCTCACCACGTAAAGATCGAACCTCATCACGCCATGCACCATTATCTTCACGTAAAGTACCGACCTCATGACGCAAAGTACTGACCTCATCACGTAACTCCCCTAACTCATCCCGTGGAGGTGGAGAACATGGAGATAAATGTCGTGGCCTCTTTTCCGATCGCCTATCATGAGGTGATGGTGGAGAAGAGGCTCAATGATGTGATGAAATAGGTGATGGTGGAGGTGGAGAAGAGGCTCGATCAGGTGATGGCTCCGGGTGTCGAGATAAAGAATCAGCCCGATCAGGTGATGGCTATCGAAGTGGGGGGTGTTCATCATCCGTCCCATCAAAAAACCGCTTACTAGCTTGCCACCAATCAGTGGCAAGCTCAGCCTCTGTGGGTGTCAGCCTCTGTAATGGATAGTTGGCCTCTTAACAATATAAAAGCTCAAACAAAGTTAAACTTGTACTAGTAATAACTTGTTTATATATGGTATTATTTGTGTGTTAACTTACATCATTCATCGTCGTATATGGGAGTAACTCTTCCCAATCCAACATGCGGATCCTCTTCCAGGTAATAGCCCTAGGAATATCATTTGATCTTTTTATTGCATATGTTCGCATGTTGGGGAAAGCCTCAAATATCCAAATCTACAAACAATATAATACACAAACATTAGTAATTGTTAAATAATTAATTATAATTTTGGAAACATTATATAGAAATTCTTACCTTAAAGGCCCAATTAAAGCCTGTCAAAGTGTATTTAGAACCATCGCCCCGCAAACGTTTTCGGTCCTCAAAGGCATACGACAACTTCTTCCAGGTAGCTTTCCATAGATATGAACCCCACGAAAACATGTTCCATGCATTTAGGTCCTCTACCAATAATATTAGGTCCTCAGAGATAGGTTGTCTGCCCTCTTTGCCTAAAAAGCCGACATGCAAAAGTAATAAATGGCATACTCGGACAACATCAAGGTCATCCATCCGAGTAAAACCATCTTTAACAAATAATCTCTTCAAGTCGTCGACGTGTAAACTCGGCTTCGACTTTGCCAGCTCAGGAAAAACCCGAGATAATCATGATGGGCGGGAGATATGACTAGTGTACCGGGTTACTTCATCGTGTCAAAAGCGTAGACCAGTGATTAAGCAAAACTCCTCCCGCCCAAAACAAGTATACGTCGGTGCCAGAGGAAAATGAAACCATATCTCTTCATCACCACGTTGTATCCTCTCGGGTAGATCGTTAGTCATGGTCTGAAGAAACAAATGTGTCAATATAGCATCTCCACCCGTATGTTGTACTTTCAGCCATGACCCGAAGCAAGTATCCTCAAACAATTTTCTTTGCAGAGGTGTAAGCGTCGACGCAATTTTAGTGGCTAGGCTTAATTTATTCCTTAAGGTCAATACAACCGAAAAAAATTTCTACAAAAACAATAAACATACCAAGTTAGATATACCAAAAACTACAAATTATACACTATAAACAGACATGATATTAAACAGTGAAAACAAAGCCAAATATGTTTCAAACTAGCACGGTATTCACATGCTGTCATTATTCCATCATAGTTCACAAAATGCATCAAATAACATTCCAGAAGTAAGTACTTATATAAACATTTAAAATGACAACATATAGGTTTAGTGCAGGTTCAATGACAACATAAAGAGTAGTAGTTTATTCTTGAAACTTAAATTAGCAACACTGTGAAGTTAGTATTTGTCTTTGTTTTATCTTTTTGTTGAAGTAATTCAATTCATTTAAGTTTCAATTTGCAGAATAAGAGTAGTTTCTGAAACTTAAATTCGCAACGCGAAAATGAAAATCGCAACACAAAAATGAAAATCGCAACGCGAAACTAATATTGTGTTTCGCGTTGCGAATTTGAAATTCAGTATTGCGAATTTGACTATCGCGTTGCGAATTTGACTTTTGTGTTGCGAATTTGTCTTTTGTGTTGCGGATTTGACTATCGCGTTGCGAATTTGACTTCTGTGTTGCGATTTACAGATTCGCGTTGCGAAATTAGAAACTGTGTTGCGAATTTGGAGTTCGCGTTGCGAATTTGTTGGTCATTTTGGTAAATCCAAAAAAATTGATTAAAATCGTATATTATAAGGCATTTTCGGTCACTGGGATTATTATCTCTTTTAATAAAAGAATTGGTTTGAAGAAATTGCAACTTACAGATCTGCATCCAAGCACAGAGCAAAGCTGCTGCCGCCACCAACTGCTAACAGGTCATTCAAGCATATATAGTAATAACGATTGGCAACTGTTTCGATCGGTACGACACAAGATCAAAGCCTATAATAGCACAGAAATTGTTTACCAGTTGGTCTAAATAAACAAAGAATCTGTTCAAAAATACCAATCTTTATTTGACAGAATCGTTTACCAGTTGGCCTAAATAGCATAGGTTCACCGTATATGGTTGTGAATACAAATGTCTGATGTTCCCTGTCATAGAACAAGAGAAATAAGGCTAAAAAGCAAGGGGCATCATGCTGAAAACCATATTCCTAAATTAAAGAGGCATGTCATCGTACTTGATATTTTCTCTTCGGTGTAGGCTTCAAGGGACATTCTAGCATCGCACCGAAGACTGCTCCTTTCCTATCTCCAGTAATCTAGAATCCGTACAACACCATGAAAAAAATTTCAAGGTTCAGATGGAAAGCCTCTCAAGAGAATAGATTTATTTACATATAACCATGAACATACCACCAAACAAGGGCCAGGGAGCTCATCACTCTTCCGAATAAGTGTGCGAAGTGATATACCATGTTTCAACGTACTGCCCCTCGTTTCAAAGAGTCAATACCAAATCAAGAATACAAATGAAGCTTTCGCTGAAAGAACTTAAAATCTTATTGCAAAACTTACCTATACAACAGCATCCATTGACACCCTTCAACAATATTAGGAAGGGAAGACACCAAGGATTCATACAAATCAGGTGTAATAAACACAGATTCATCAGAAAGGTTCAGTGGAGGCTTTACTGGACTCCGTTGAACTTGTGCATCTCGATATTCATCGGAATCACTGCTACACCTCTCGGAGGTACTATCCTTATTCTTGCACCGAGGATTAAGAGTCCGCTTGTTGTCATTATGTTTTGAAACTTTCTCAACTTCGTGAGCCTTTTGTAAGTTCTCCAAGGATTCATCTTGCAACTCAAGTGTCCTACATTTCCATCTAACAGGATGTGACTGAGTTGTATTCAGTTGACTTCCATGATCATTCCATTTAGACCACCTAAGCTTACAGCAGGGGTAATGTAAGAATGAATCCAAGACCGAGTGCTTGATCCTTCGGAATAAAATCTGGCCAAAATATTCAAAAACTTCATATCACCAGAACGCTGGAAACTACAATTCACCAATAAATTATAACTTCAAACAGATGCAAATAAAATGAAACATAAAATAATCAAAACGAAGAGAAAAAAACAACTTGAAATAAAGGAAGAATATTTAATTACTCAAACAATCAAAAATCCACTTTTTTGAAGTTTTACACAATTGAAACTTAAAAATATTAATTTAGTCCAATCTATGAAGTGGCTGATCTTAGTACTAAATACAAAGAAAGAACAAAAAATTCAGATACCAGAAGAGAAAGGAAAAGCAGTTACCTGAGAAGGATCAGATGGAGAAGAATGATTCGGTGAACCTGAAAACAAACGTGAAAGACTCTCAGCTACTTTAGCTTCCAATGTATACATTTTCAAGTTCCTCTCTTTTTTCAATGATTTAGTGTTAAATATATTTTCCTTTTAAATTTAGCTCATGAAATTAAACAATTGAATGAACTTCGAGTGATAAATGAAGATTTTTCGGTAGGAAAATGACTGCAAAATAGAAGAAAAACGAAACCAAGGTTTGATGTTTGACCTTTGCTTAGAACCTTTTTAAAATAATTGAATTTTTTATTTTATTTTTTCTAAAGATGTTATATTTAGATTTACTATAGAGTAACATCACTTATTCCATATTTCCAAAAAAATAGTTAAAAAACATTATTAAGTACTCCGTTATTTTATATAATAAATAATAGCAGTGTGATTATCAAATAGGGTAAACTGTTTAGATTTACTAAAGAAGTTTCTATAAGATTTAGCATGCAGTATTTTTTATCAATAATTGTTATTTATTATTGTTCAGATTCAAACTTTATATTGGTTTACAAAAGGAAAGTTAATGACGATATTGATTTTGTTAGGAGGAGGATAGTTTTGATGATTAAATATATATTTAAAAAGATTAAATGATTACAGATAAGGAAATAAAATATATGTATATAAATTTATTAGTGTCATTTAATAATATTTCATATTTTATTAAATAAATAATTTAAACTTCTATAGTTTTAGATAAATTTAAAATATCTTACCAAAATCCATCGCTATTGATCTAAAGGGCAGATTACACATTTAGTATCTAAACTAGTATTATTTTTTTCAAAAGCATATTTAATATTTAGTTTAGGTTTTAAATTGGTATCCACTGAATTACCTGTACAACTTAGTTGGTAGAGCGCAAGGCTCTTAAACTTGTGGTTGTGGGATCGAGTCCTACGGTGGACAATTCATAATTCTGACTGTCGGAGGTCTTTCACGAAAGTTGCTCTCAACCTGGTGTTGTGGGCAGCCTACTACCCTACATCCCCTTACCTCCATTACATATGAGAATAAGATTTAATATTTTTTTGTATTTTTAATAATTACATATCATTACCATTTAATGACACGTCAACATCACCATTAAATTTTTAACGAAATATTAGGTATGAGTTTTAGATATCAAAATGGAATAAAAATAACAGTTTAGATACTAAACGTGTACTCTACCCTTAAATATATAACAAATTCAAACTCGTATTACAAAATCATCTTATGTGTTTTAAGTGCATTCATGACTGTCATTTTCTCGAGAAACAAATGAAAAAGGCAGAAAGCAAGAAAGAACAACTCAACTGAAGTGAGATATGGTACTGTTATTCCCGGTCAAAGTTCATGGCAGATTCCTTTCCATCCATATCTGCTTACCGTTTCCCCAAGAAGTGAATATTTTTCAACTATTCAAATCTTTTCTTTTACTTCAAACAAACCCCATTTTTGTTCTTATTCTCTTCAAAAATAAAAAATCTTACTTTAATCAAGTTTCATCATTCCCATGAACTATGTTTCTCCTTTATCAGAACTCTCTCTGCTTTGCACACTTATCTAAGTGCATTAAAATATACAAACTTGTTTTAGCTAAAACCCACTAATCTTTCCTACAAAAACAAATGATTTGATCCCAAAAAATCCACCTAAAAAATGGGTTTTTGTTTATCTTCAAGACCCTTGTTCCTTTTCATTTCATTCCTTGTTTTGTTTCCAAATCTTAAGCCTTCTCCAATGGTGGAATCAGGTTCAGACATCACAGCTCTGGTATACAAAGGATGTGCAAAGCAGGCGTTCACAGATCCAGCGGGGTTATTCTCCCAGGCTCTTTCAGCTTTGTTCCAAACATTGGTTTCACAATCCATGAAACTAAGGTTTTACAAGACGACGACAGGGACAGCTCAGACCACCATTAATGGTCTGTTCCAATGTAGGGGGGACCTAACGAACAACGACTGCTACAAGAGTGAGTCAGCTCCCAACTTTATCCGACAAACTCTGTGGCAAATCCATTGCTTCAAGGATCCAACTTCACGGCTGCTATAAGTCGTACGAGGTTGCCGGATTCCCACAAATATCTGTCATGCAAATGCTGTTAAAAGCTTGCGGCGGCGGCGGAATTGGATTTCAAGAGAAAAGGGACACTGCCTTCTCGTATCTGGAGAATGGGGTTATCAGTGACCTTGGATTCCTTACCAAGAATTACCAATCTGTTTACGTTTTGGGACAGTGTGAAAGTGACGTGGGGGATTCGGATTGTGGTGCTTGTGTTCGAATTGCAGCTCAAAGAGCTCAAGTCGAATGCGGAGAAGCGATTGCGGGTCAAGTTTATCTACATAAATATTTCATTGCGTACGCATACCATGTCAATGGAATTCCTAAACGATCATCGTCGTCTTCATGGTCATCCTCATTCTCACATGATTCATCTTCTTCATCAGGCCAAGATACAGGGAAAACAGTGGCGATTATACTAGGAGGGGCAGCTGGAGTTGGATTTGTTGTTATTTTGTTGATGTTTGCCAGAAATGCGATGAAATACCACGACGGTATGCCATTTCTTTTTAATCATCTGCAAGATTTCTCCATTACTGCTTCATGTTTTTTATTTTTATTTTTTTGGGGTTGCAGATTCTTGAAGTGAGCTCATTCGAAGGTGTAGAATGTAGAGACTTTTCTTCTCTTTGTTGATTCGATGCGACTCCTTTCCGTGTTGAATTTTCAACAAAGAGTTAGGCTGTAACACCTTCAGACCGTCTCATACCGATGTAGGTGACCCAATCCGATCTAAGGTGTTATATTAGGGCTACCGGAATGACCCACAATAAAAATTTAGGAAAAATTAATTTTTTTTGTTAAAACGTGTAAAATCATAAAACAATTTATAATTAAATACAATTTTACAAAACCATTCATATATTACAAACGTAATTAAAATTATATAAGTTCCAGACTCAATATATATGTAAAAAAATGATCAAATGTGACCTACATGCCCCCTAATTACATTGTACCGTACTCTGCAAGCAAAGTCGAAGGAACTCCCAATACTGAAGTTGATAGTTGTACTAGATCGATTCTTTTAACCTAAAATGGTGATTAAATAGTGAGCTTTGGGAAGCTTAGTAATACAGAAATACCAAATGAATGCAATATGCCATCGGGTATAAGGTAAAGCATAAATTCCTTAGCGAGACAATCATCATCAGATTCTAGTGGTGAATTCAGATTCCATTAGCTAAGTCTTCAGTTACAAACATGAATTTATGGTCTAAATGAAATATTCAGAGAGAGACAAATTCAAAAAATTGAATGGGGGAGTCTAGTGTGTTCTAACAAAACAAAGAAATGTGTACAGATCATTTAAAAACATTAGTAGTGTAAAACATATTTTAAAACCACAGTAATATCCTTCAACCAAACACTGATATGTAGTTCCCCAGAACTGCATCCATAAGGACTTACCCTAGGCCCATTGAGCGTATGAGCCAACTTAAGGGAATATCTTGGTGCATGAGAGCCTACCAAAGGGAGTACCTTAGGGCTTAAGAGCCTACCCAAGGAAGTACCTTGGGGCCTTAGAGCCTACCCAATGAAATGCCTTGGGGCCTCAAAGCCTACCCAAGATCACCTTAGGTCCGTAAGGAATTACTAGCTTGATTAGAGATGAACCTCTATACTATAGAATCCTACCCAAATAGTATCCCAATAATCGGTTCATACAGTAAACAGTAGATTTACATGATCCATAAATCAAGAACGATTATATTTTCCAGTGAAAATAGGTAATCATAGAGCACATATCATGTAGATATAGTTCATAAACAGTGAATCAATACATCAGTAAATTAGAATATCGAACAATTAAAAGATTTAATAAATTAGTAACTTCGGTAAATCACATTTCAGAGCAGATAAAATAATCATATAGCACATAGGGAAAACACTAGAGGATCCAATTATTTTTCGGAGGTACTTAGTAATTATCAAGCGGGGAAAACATGAAACTTCTGCAAACTAATTGAATTTCAGAAATGAGATCCCTATAAAAAGAGGGTTTGATAGCTAGTGGATTCATCAGCCATTCAATAAGTGATTTATTAAGATCATATAGTATTTGAATATATCAACAAGGTATTCCGAAATTATTGCATCAAATTTATTTAGGATTAAGACATTCCTAAAGTGATCCCATCAATCAGGCTTATCAAGACATTTTAGACATTTAATTCCTGAGAAATTTGATAAATCAATTTAATAAGGGTATGCAGCGATTTAAATATTTTTTTGGATTTCAAGCATCTTAACAAGTTTCCAATTTTAATCGCACTGTAAAATTCCCAACAAAGGCGACACTTATATATTATGCAGGTAGAGAAACTTCACGAATATTCATTTCTTAAAACTGGTTGTACTGTAGAATTGAATGATCACCTTCAAACCTCTTTGGACTAATCATGAGGAGAGAAATAGGTATTTAATCAGTATTTATTTACTTCCTGTATTGTAATAGTATTAGGGATGATCGACCTACTTAGGTCGTACTCTAAAAACCTGAGGGGCGTTACAACATTTAAAGCTTCACTAGTATCTTCAGAAGTTATCCAAAGACATTTGCTTAATTCAAGTCATGAAGGTATTTAGATCATTATGGTATTTGAGGTAGATTTATTCATTCCATAGGTTAAGGGTATTCAGTCATTCCAGAACTTAAGGGTATTCAGTCATTCCAGGGTTTGGGGGTATTTTGGTCATTTTATAGTTCAAGGGTATTTCAGTTCTTTCTTTCCATCCAGTATTTCCATTTAATTCAAACTTGTCATTTATTTCAGTCATTTCAGACAATTCAGACATAAAAAGTACTTCCACGGTGTTAGCCTTTAAGTACTTGCTCAAAAACCAGGAATCCTAGGTTTTGAGCCTTTACGGAGGTCATGAAGTAATTATCAATGATTCTCTGGAGAAATCATGAAATTAACAGGTAAATCAGTAATTTTATCAGGTCGAAACCAATTATCGTGTCAAATCCACTAATAAGAGCAATTCCATGTCATTTT